GAACGACTTGCACCTTTACATCTCTATCATCTTGTACAATTAACGAAATAAAGATGAACAGGGTTATACGTCACAATTTAAGACTTCGTTTAGGAGATCCAGTTGTAATTGAATATTGTGGAGATATCTCAGGTGGTAAACATTTACATATTGCATTTATCGACGACACCATTCAAAACTTAACGGGCAATTTATATGAAGTTTTTGTAAAGCCATATTTTGAAGATCGCAATCGACCAGTACACAACCATCTAACACCCACACCCACCCGAAAATTATCATCGTTTAATTATCAGTGATGCAGTTAGTCATGATAATAGTGTTGTCGAATTGTCACAACATATAATCGATAAATTAAACTTACCAAATAATAGTACTATTGTTATCAAAAGTGACAAAGAGCGAACAACGGTATGTACTTTGAAAGCTGATACACTTTGTCCAAGCAACAAAATACGTATAAAACTTGAGGGTGTGGGTATGGGTGGAGGTGGGTGTTGGTGTCTTTTCTCTTAACTCACATCCAGAACCCGCGCGAAAGGTCTAATATTGGAGGGGGAACAGTGTAAAAGGATATTTATAGGAAAATTTACTCCAAGTCAGGTCCCGGCCCTGAAAAAAAAATTTTCTAGCTAATGGACGCCTGTATAGTCCTCAACCTTCACCCATCCTCAAGAATTCGTTTCCGTTGTAATTGATCCGGAATGTCCATTCGATCCAGTTCAGATGCATCGTGATGTACGAAATAATCTACAACTGCATTTAGATGATTTTATTACAATCAAAACGTTATCCTTACGTTCCTACTGGTAATAACATATATATATCACGTATTGGAGATCCTGTGCAAGGCATCACTAATAATGCAATGTTATTGTATATAAGACCATACTTATGTAAACATTATGGACGACTAATTTATAAACGCGATATATTTATTGTAAAAACGCAAATGGGTGTGGGTGTGGGTATGAGAGATAGCATGAGTCTCTTGGTCCGCTACATTTACACCCACACCCGCACCCGCCACGCCCACCCGTTTCCGTGCCGGATTGTTCGACCTGGGATACTTTTACAATCAAACACCAATCAAGCAAAAAATGTTACAAAGTACAAATAAATGTACAGCTGTTAATTTGACTATTCGAAATTGTGATATTAAATCGAACAACGTGGTTATTATGGCTGCTGAGAATCTTGAAAAAAATTAATGCAAATCCATCCAACATGATATTTATCCAAAACGAAAAAAAAAAAAAGTTTATAATGTGCAATGTGATGATGAATGTCCAATCAACACAATATAAATGAGCCGTGCAGTAAGAAACAATCTAGGAGCACAATTAAATTATACCGTTTCATTATCACTTGAAAAGGTGAAACAAGTCAAATTAGATCAAAATAAAACTGTCTTGCTTGAAAAAAAAGGACGAACAAGAATTTGTTTCCGTTGTAATTGATCCGGATTGTCCTATCAATGAAATTAAAATGAGTCATGCTCTTCGAAAGAACCTACAAGTCAATTTAAAGGATACTATAAGAATTCAACATTGTGATTACGCTCGTGCTGGTAATAATATATATATTTCAGCTATTCTGGATACTGTAAGGTGGACGGGTGGGTGTTGGTGTCTCTTCTCTTAACTCACACCCACAGGAATTTAGTCGTTTTTTAGCCGTTCCATGCCTTAAACCGCAATGAATCGTGTTATATTTCACAATTTGAAGCTACGGTTCGGAAACATTGTCGCAATTCATCCAAAACGACGTCGTTTGATTCGGGAAACAGATGATTTTGTCTGTAAAGATCTACAACTACTATGTACAGAAGCCGGTTCTCTACAAATTCAACAAAACAAAGATGTATTGACATTTGAAAGAAACAATATTAATGTTGAATTGCTTAATAAATTAACGGTTACTCACAAAGATTTTTTATTTGTATTGAAGCAATTAAAACAACTACTTTTAAATAAATCTATTAACCAAAACTAAAACAATGATCATGAATTATCGAAATACCACGGAACCGGCCGTTTCCGTGTCGGATTGTTCGACCTGGGACCCACACCCTGCACGACAAACTGAATGAATTACCATTCAATTACAATAAAATAGATGTTGAAATCCTGGATAAACTGGTAGTTAATCCACAAGACTTTTTAATGGAATTAAGTAAATAAAAGAAACAAAACAATGATCCAAAATTTCCACAACATATCCAAAAATTGTATTTTTTTTGTTTTTTGTTATTTCTTTCAACATTAAATAAAACAAGCAAAGGCAAAATGATTTCTAAACTATTATTTCTTTTTATTTACGAAATACCAATATTATTTCGTGGATCACATGATATACTCTCCAGTTAAGATAATAAAAATATTGCAAAAAAAAGACTAATTTTTCTACAGCAATAGTTTTCTGTGAGTGAGATAAATAAAACAACTGTATTTAAATGAATTTTTATATATATAGCAATGAGTGAAAAAAATAAAATTTGGAACATGATGAAGTTTACATCACAATTTGTAGACTTCTATATAATTACATGGATTAAAAAAATATTTTTATTTTTTAATTTAAAAAATACACATATAAATATTATATATTGTATTAAACTATTCAATCAGGTTGATTTGAGTTTATTGCGAGCAACACATTTACGAACAAGTCTTCGAGTTTGACTAATATCAAGTAATTCATCATCTTTTAAACTTATATTAGAGACTTCAGTTTTCATTCTCGCTGGTTTAACAGTCGATGGTATTGGAACATCTGTGGTCTATAATAAATATTCATTTTCTTAATAAAAAATACATAAAATCTATCAACTTACATCCATTACTTCTTCATCTGTTGATTTTTCTTTATCATCATCATCATCATCATCACTATCGTTATTTTTAGTAAATGCTAATCGAGCACTACGTCGACTACCACGAACTATTTCTCGTCGAGTTTTCTTTTTAATTGTAGTAGGTGTTATCTTAGTCTTAGGTGTTGTTGTACGTTTTGCTGGTGCTTTTGTACTAGAATCATACCATAAATTATGCATAATTTCATCAACAAAGTCTATAACTTACATAGTAGGTGCACTCTTACGCGTCCGTGTTTTCTTAGCTGATGTACGAAAAAGTGTTGACGCTGGTGGAGTTATACCAAATAATCCTCCAAATGTGGTAGGAGCTATTGTAAAATTTTCTCGAACATCTTTTAAATTTGCTAGTGTAGAAAGATGTTCAGCAGCAGGTGTTATCGGTGGAATATTTGTTGTTCCATCTTGATTATCTACTTTTAATCGACGTACTTTAACACCTGTACAAAGATATAAATATAAGTATAGCTAGTTTTTTCTATTGAAAAATTCATATTTCTTTCTACATACCATCACCATGCATTACTTCATGTATACGACGAGTAAGTTCAGTTTCATCAACTGGACCACCACGTAATGCTGCTTCACGCATAACTTCTTCATGTACTTGTGCTAATAATCGTTCCATAGAAATTTCCTCTCTTGCTGAACCAATAATGATTGAAGCTAAATCATTACAATTAGCTAAGGGTATATATTGACCACCAGTTTTAAAGGCAAGTGCCATAAAAAAATCACGATAAGGGGTAATTGTTGGTTCACAACCAATTGTATATAGAGTAATACTACGTTCAGCAAGTAAAGCCACACATTCAACTGGATCATGTCCAGATGGATCACCTATACAAAAATTAAAATATTTGCATTAATTTTACAAAAACAAATTAGAGAAAAATATTTCCTACCATTTGGAAATCCATCACCATTGGTATCTAAGCCATGAGGAGGTGCGTCAGCAATGAGAAGAGCAATTTTTACTGCATCCTTTCTCCATGACAAAGTATGAACAGCTGCATGTAGTGCAGGTGCTACTGCTTCAGGCCCATCTCCACCTAAATAATATTGTAATTGTAAGAAATTTTAAAATAAACTAGTCAATAATATAAACCTCCATAAGCAGCAGCCGCATCAATATTCGTTTTTGCTTCTTCTGCATCGTCTGTAAAATCATGAACTTTAATAACAAATGTACTGTCTTGTGGTGGGTGATCACGATAGAGGATTAAAGCAGTATTCAATAAACAATGTTCACTCTTTATAATATCTTCAATGATTTTTCGCATATTCTACAAGATATAGTTGTTGTTTTTTTTCTTCAAAATTATTTATATTGCATACAAACCTCTTGAGCAGATTTAATGTATCCGGACATACTAGAGGTAGCATCAATAATAAAAGCAAGATCTAATTCTGTTGGTATGTCAGATGTAGTCACATTGTTTGTAGTAGTAGTAGTGGTAGTAGATATATTACTCATAATTTTTATCTGTAAATTATTTTCATTTATTTATTATTCATAAAAAATATATACGTTTTATAATCTTACCAATCAATGAAATATGTTTGCTTTGTTAACCTTTGAAATTGTTGTAACTCAAAATGAAATAATAACAAAAATACGAATTCACTGTCTTTATATACATAATAAACTGACTGTAAAGTGTTCTTACATATCTGTTGGGCAATAACCACCCTCGATATGTTGTTCTTTTTTATATGTTGACGTAAAAAATAGTGCGTAACATTCTAAGTCAAAATTATTTTTTTTATTAAATTCATTTAAAAAAAAGACACATCATTTTATCTCTAATATGAATTCACACAGATTATTTCTCCTAAATATATCGTACATAAAAAAAAAGAAACATGAACTCAGATCAGTCGGCAAGGTAAAAAAATGGAATGTATAATAATAATAAGAAAAAGAATAATAAGAATGATTGAAGAACATTATATACAAATATAAAAAAAAACAATTGATTCTACATAATCGAATGTATAAAAAATGATATAAAACATAAGCATAAAACAATTATATAATTTGTCGATGATCGTATTCCTGAGTTACATCCATCACGTTCATCACAAAAACAATAGATTGGTTCATCTGTTTGTACGTACCATGGTCGATAAGCAAGACCCTAAAATTAAAATATATTCATTTTTTCCGCAAATATTTATAAAAAAAATAAAACATACAACATAGCTATCTGTTGCTGTCCAACATCCATTTTCTCTAACAGTTGGCATCTCAGGTCGAACAGCTTCTATCTGATTAATACAACCACGAACATAATTAAGTTCACCTAAAATAAATATTTTGTTTTTCGACTAAAAAAAATCATTATGATTTTACCATCAGGTGAACGTTCAATTATTTTAACACATTTACTTCCACCTGGTGCAATACAACGTTTCCAACGCATTAATATCCAATCAATTTTAGCACCACAACCAGGACGATTGCTGTGACATTCATAACAATCCAAGTAGAATCCATTTAAATAATCAAATAATTGTGGAACTTCAGGTTGAGCTTAAAAATAAAAAAAAAATATTTTAATTAAAACAAAAAATATCAATTATTCTTTACCTTTATCCACAAATATTGATAGAAACAAAAACAAACAAATAGATGAACTCCACATTTCCATCAGATATTAAAAAAAAAGAAATTGAAGGTGAAAAGGAAACAAAACGATGACATACAGTAATCAAATCAAACAACGCTACACTCTATGATAAGAATCAAAGATATTATTGGTTGTTTTCATCAACCAATAGAATACTATTATCTACACAAACAAATATAAACTGTCGTTGTCCTCCTTTGAAAATAGTCAACGTATGGAGCCGCGAGCACGTTCTAGTAATAGTTCATCTCATGATGGACTTGCACCAAATTCTATGAAGGTATATAATCGATAAATTCATTTAATCTTACAATCATTTCGATTTGTATTTTAGTCATTAACTGAAAGTAAATTACGTGCATTTGAACAAGGCACTGTAGCTGTTAATTCACGAGCTAATTTATCACGTAAAGAACGTGAAGAAATTCGTGCAAAAATTGAAGCAAATGAAACTGAAGAAGCATTAAAAGAATTTGTTGCTGCATTTGAAGAACCAGTTCATAAAACAAATAAAACATTTGTTAAAGGTGGAGTTTTTAATCCTGGTTCACATGAAGAAACTCCAAGTGATCGAGGAAAAACATATCGAACAACAACAACATTTACTAAAAAAGATGATGTAACATCGAATAAAGATGTTTTACAACAACAAATTGCTAAAAGTAATGCAGCTGCACTTGCAGCGGCAGCTGCTCTATCAGCAGCAGCAGCAGAAAATAAACCTGTAAGTTATCTTTAGTTTCTCTTCTGATTCAATACATATGTATCTTCTTTAGAAATTAAAAAATGAACGTGAAAAACGTAAATCAAACTTAGAATCATTTAAAGAAGAACTTAAAAGGTATACTTGAAAATATATATATATATAGTTTCTATTATAATTTATTTGATTCTAGAATACAAGAAGAACGTGATCGTCGTCATAGTCAAAAATCACGAGAAAAAGATCATAAACCACAACGATTTCTACCTCCACCATCTATATCACAACATTCTGATGTTGCGCGTAAATAAAAATTCTTCAAATAATTTTTATTTAATTCTGTTCTATTAGCTGAAACGGATTCATCTCATCACGATAATCGTCATGTATGCGATGATCCAAATACAACAAATTTATTTATCAGTTCAATTCCACGTTTGGTAAAAACAAAAATCATTTTATTTATTTCAGTTTTCTTTCTATCATTTCTTTTTAGATGAATGAAATGGCTATAATGGAATTATTTGGTCGTTATGGACCATTAGCAAGTGTAAAAATAATGTATCCAAGAAGTGAAGAAGAAAAATCTCGTGGAAACAATTGTGGTTTTGTTGCTTATATGAGTCGAAAAGATGCGGAAAGAGCAATGCATGAATTAAATGGTTCACAAATGGATTCTATATCTGTTCGAATGAATTGGGGACGACGTAAAAAATTAGTTTTGAAAGTTTTAACACTAAAATATCTTTTCTTTATAGCTGTTCATATACCACCACAACCAATTTATATTCCACCTACATTAAGAGATTTAATCATGCCACCACCACCATCTGGCTTACCATTTAATGCTCAACCAAATACAAAACATCGTTCATCAAAATCACAAGATATTCTTGGTCGAGAAAAGGAACTTGCAAAAGTAAATGAAGATTTTCTATTTTAATATAGAAAATAGTTTATTGATTTTTTTTCTAGCTTCTTGAACATGCGACTGTTCGAGTGATTATTCCTCATGATAGGTTTGTATAACATACTATGGAAGTTTTGTCGAATAAATCAGATTGAATAATACATATTTTTGTTTAGAGCCTTATTATGTTTGATTCATCGCATGATTGAGTTTGTTATTCGTGAAGGTCCTCTATTTGAAGCAATGATAATGCGTCGTGAAATGAATAATCCACAATTCCGGTAAGAACAATAAAATTCAATTCTTGGTCAATTTTTTTTTCTTTTGTCTGTCTAGGTTTTTATTTGATAATCAAAGTCCAGCTCATACATACTATCGATGGAAACTTTATTCAATTCTTCAAGTAAAATAAACAACAACAGCAACAAAAAATATAATTTTCTATTTATTAGGGTGATAGTATTACAAGTTGGCGAACAGAAATATTTCGTTTATTTAAAGATGGAAGTTTATGGTTACCACCTCAACCTCAACAATTTACATCTGGTATGCCCGATGAAGTATTTGAAAAAGTCAAAAAAGAAACAGAGAATGAAATAATTGTGAAACCAGAAATAACTATACCCGTAATTAATCCAAACAATAATAATAATAATAATAATACAAGCAATAAACGTGGTCGACTTAGTCATCGGTAAATTATAGAAAAAATATTAATAATAATAATAAAATTTATCTATATATATATATAGACAAAGAGATCATTTGGAAGATCTTTTACGAACATTAACACCTGAACGAAATAAAATCGGTGAAGCAATGCTTTGGGCTATTGATCATGCTGAAGCTGCTGATGAAATAATCGATTGTATTACTGAATCACTCTCAATTCTTCAAACAGCACCCTACAAAAAAGTAAATATTTTTTCGACAAAACTATAATTATTTCTATTTTATTTTTTAGATTTCTCGACTTTATTTAATATCAGATATTCTTCATAATTGTAGTGTTAAAGTTACAAATGCATCTCATTATCGTCGAGGGTAATATAAATACAAATATATTTAAAATAAAATTATTTCTCATTCTATTTTAGTTTTGAAACACGTTTGCCTGATATATTTCAAGAAATACATCAAGCATGGTCTGTTATTGATGGACGTCTTCGTGCTGAACAATTTAAAGTATGAGAATTTTATGCGATAAAATATATATATTACTTTTTATATTTTCTAGCAAAAAGTTATGAGTAGTTTTCGTGCTTGGGAATCATGGGCAATATATCCAAGTGATTATCTTATCAAACTTCAAAATATATTTCTTGGACTTGTACGACAAAAATCTACGATAGTAAATATTTTTTTTATTTTTTCTGATTTATTAATTCTTTTTTTGTAATAAAAGGAAAATGAAATCAAAAAATCGAAATTTGATGATGATATCGATGGTAAACCAATTCATATGGATTCATCATCTGATAATCGACCATTAGCACTTGTTGCTGATTATGATGATGAAGAAGATATTGATGGAAAACCAATTTCAGTGCCAAGTTCATCAGTTGATCATGATATTGATGGGCGTCCAATACATGCCACCACTAAAGAATGTATGTCAAATAAATTTTTCTTTTACTAGAGAACACAATTGAATTTGTTTCTTATGTAGCTCGACCACGATTTCAAGAAGAAGTTGACGAAAATTCTTCATCAGAAATAAAACCACGTTTTGTTCCAACAAAATGGCAATCAATCGATCCATCACAAGTTGCTGCACAAGGTAAAACTTCCTCAAATACATTAAAACTATCGTTTATTTTCATATTTTCTCCTAGCTGTTACAATATCAAAATGGGATTTTGATCAAGAATCAACTATTAAAGGAAATGAAAGTTTATATGAAGATTTAGCTGAAACATCAAAAGATAATAATCATACAAACAACGAGTGAGTTTTAATAACGGAGTATGAAAATATATTAATGGCAATATAATAAATCATATTCTACTATTATTAAAGTGAATATATAAGAAATAATTCATCAACAAGTACATATAGTATTGAGAATCCAATAGCTACAGATTCATTATCAACATCAGATATATCAGAAGAACGACGTCAAAAATTACGAGATGTTGAAGTAAGTGAATAAATTTCAATATACATTAATTACAATTATTCTTTTCTAGATTCAAGTATTGAAATATGCAGATGAACTAGAATCTGGACGGCGTGAACGTTCAATTGGTCTTTCATTAGTAGAAGAAATTGAAATATATCGACAAAATTTATTGAAAAAAGTTAGATTAGTTTTCAAATAGAATTATTCATTATTTTTCATATATAATTTCTAATAGATTGAAGACGAAACGACAGACTCATCCAAATCGACAAATCGAACTTCAACTAAACAATCCAACGAATCCTCATCATCATCGTCATCATCAAGAAATCCTTCATCACGATATTCTCAACAGCGAAGCGTCGACGAGAAAAGTACGTGAGTGCGTCGTCAGAAAATTTCTTTTTTCATTGACGTACGCAAAATGATTTGTAAAAAAAAAATAACAGAAAAGAAAAACTCCATTAAGGAGATATTAACTGAGATCATTTACAAAACAATACATAAATATATTTATGGTTAAATTCACATGCTTGTATATCTACCTATCTCCAAATAGATCAAGAGACTAGTTCGCGTCGCGACGATTCATCTTCTAAACATGTGAGTATTATTATATTTATTTTTGCTTTTTATATATTAATAAAGAAGAATTTATAGTATTGAAATGAACTCGGTTGTTTTTTTCTTATAATTTTAGAATACGAAATAAATGTCTGATGACACAAAAGAGATAATAGAAGTCTTAGTTTCCTTTTCTTCATTCATTCAAGTACTTCTCGACTTTATATATTATAAAAAAAAAAGAAAAGGAAATGCAAGAGGCTGAATATGCCTGACTCTTCATACCATCTTATTTTAATACCAAAATAGATTTTCTAGAGCTGAAATACATGTTGACATGAATTAGTTATTATAATTATAAAGAATGAATATTGTTATAAATTGTAACTGGAAAAAAGTTCATTGGCTTTGTTCTTTATAAATAACGACAGTCATTGGAAAAGGTCAATTATTTATTTGTCTCCTTGGGGAATAGTAAAAACTGTTTAGAATCAAAGAATAACGCCTTGCAGAAATCATTCGATGAAATGAGAGAGAGAGAAAAAAAAAGAAGTATCACGAAAGAAAATTTGATCTTGTTTTTTTCTTTGTAATCTAAACTCAACAATATTAAAAGCATGCTTGAATATATTTAATTTTCTAGTAATTTGAGATGTTTTGTTTAAAATACTTATTATTCTTTGCAAGTATTATTTTAATTAGACTTAGATTAAAAAGAAAAATAATTATTCTTAAGTCAATAAACTATTGTATAAAGTAAAACATTTGTCTTTCGTTTATTTGCTATTTTTAGAGATCTACTTCAACACGAAGTAATTCATCAAATTCAAATCAATCAGAGTATGTACTTGAAAAAATCTATTCAATTTTATTTTGAATAAAATTGAATTTCGTGATTGATAAATACCATTTTGCTTAATTTTCTTTTCTTCTTCTTCTTCAAAGTTCTACACGATCATCATCATCAAGAACGTCTAGTGATTATCATCATAAACGAAAACGCGATGAACGTTCACCATCACCTTCTTCTCGGTACTCTCGATCCAGTCGTCGATAAATTTATTTAAAACAAAAATAACAATTTTGTTTCTTCTTTCTATGTGTAATTATTTTTTGTTTAACCAACTATATTGTACGAACATATATACGTGTACATAAATAGAAAAATTTTCTACCTGTTCTTTTATATATTACTTTACAGGTTATACATGTGCGTATTTGTTCGGAACAAAATAAAAAAATACATAAAGAGTATACAGGAGAATGGACTAATTGTGAAAGAGACGTACATTTTTTTCTAATATAGTCAACAACGTTATATTTTTTTCTTTTCTTTTATATGAAACAAGACTAGTTCTTGCATTTTTTTTGCTTTTTTCTTTCTTTCTTTCTTCCGCTCTCTCTTTCTCTGAAAAAGACTGGAGCTACATCAATCATCTCTTACACATTCTCCTAAGTATTAGCTCGATCATTTCCTATTCAAAGCAGACAGCAACGAACGGAAATACAGCACACATCAGTTGGTGTTCGATCGTATAAAAGCCGAGGGAGAAAAAGTTGAGTATTAACACATAGAATCATGACCCCTCGATGTGACAGCAGTATAAGATAGATTTCTAGTAAGAGAACAAAATCTAATATTTTTCCACTATTATTTTAATACAGCTACTAACAATTATCTATAGCATCTGTTATCAAATGTACTTTTTTCTTTATTTTTATTGTCTATTTTCTATTATGTTTGTTCGTAGATAAAATGCGAACATTACGAAATGCATTTAGCACCATCAACGGAAATCGGAAGTTGACATCGTGTTTCGCGTTCTTTTATATATTCTCTCTAACAGAATATAATTGTGTATTTTAAAGAAGAAGAAGAAACGATCAAACGATTAAGCATTTAATTTGTATTGTTGTTCGTAGCATTAAAAGAAAAAAAAAAGAAAGAAGAGCGAACGCGCGAGATAGAAAGCAGAAAAAAAAGAAACATATTTAGATATTATTTCTTTTATATCAGATAGAAAAAAAATGATACATTAAAACAACGTTGTTCGTCTGTAATAAATGAATGCGGCATATACGTCTACGATTACGAACCTCAATTCTTTTTATACTGGCTACATTAACAATATTCTTTTTAATTACACTTAATACATTAATATGGTCAACAAACGAACTTGAACAAGTCGAAGAAAATCGAGATATACCAATTCCACCTGGTGTTATACCGTTTTGGTCAGCCATTAATCATCAAAATATCTATGATATACATGCAACATCAGTTAATACCATATTTGTTCGACCATCAAATATAAGTCAACGCCGTGTTGAAGAACTTTATGAATTAATACGTAATGCAAAAAATGATGACACTCAATCTGTAGATAAAGAAAAATTATTTCCGATTGATTCGACATGGAGTTTTGATAAATTAGTTGAACAACAACAAGCACATGACAATGATGACACAAATAAACAGACACCTGAAACACATGCTGATACAGCTGATTCAGCAGCTAAAACAACAACAACAACAATACGTCCTGATTTAACAACATCAGCAAAAAGTGTTAGTGAATATGATAAAATTCAATTAAGAAATTATGTTCATCAATCTCTAGCTAAATGGAAAAAAGAACATCAAAATGATAAAATTATTAATTTAGCTGATCTTATGCATGATGAATTATTACGTGATGAGCCATCGTAAGTTTAGCTCCTTTTCTTATCTGAAAACATTTACCGTTGTTTTTTTTCTTCTGTAAGAAATATGAAACCTTTGCATATTTTTAAGCAATTATTTGCACACGTATAACATTTGCTTTAGAAAGTATATTATGAATCCATGATTTGTCATGAAAAACAATGAAGAATTATTTAAAGATTTTATTAATAACATATTGTTCACTTATACATCTCTTATGATTAAAGCACTTTTCTATTGTATAGAAGACATACTTAACAGAATGATTTCTTAATTGTCTATGAATAGTTAGGGTTCCTTTTTCTTTTTAAAGTATGCATTTTTACATGATGAAATATGTGTTATATGATACGTTCGAATGTCTTCGATGTCTTTTTCTCGATTATAAGAAGAGAAATATCTTGTATTACTTCTAATGATAGTAAATAGAAATGACAACTAATAAATGTCTTTTTAAACATATATATATAACTCATTATTCACGAGCTATAAATCTTTCTAATGATATTTTTAGTGTACTCAAAAAGTGAGTACACTTGTATAGTCGATCAGTGTATCCGGTCGTTTACACGATAACTTGCGAAAGGAGAGTCCGATTGTAATGAAATTTTGTACAAAATTCAGTCTCATGAAGCTCTCGGTCAAGTTCCAAGTTGAGCCATTGCCGAGTTATTGCAGAAATACTAATGTTTCTCGATGAGTTCCATATACACTTTTTTGCAGTACACATAACTCTCGGATAAAATCCGAAGTTACCGTATTTATTTATAAGTTTTGTTTAAAAAATTACTTATTTGTTAAACCTCGAGAAAATAATTATGTATATCACATCATTATAAAAACATTTATTATTATTCAAAAGGTCATCTTGTTTTTCGATGACTAAAAAAATAAATCTAAATTTATCGATAAATAATGTATATATTTTCTTAACAAATAAATCATTAGCTAATAAGATTGACTTTATATTTATCATTCAGGAATTCATAATATAGAAAAATATTCTATTTGTGATTAAATACTTCATATGATATATTTTCTTGTATAAATAATAATTTAACAACGCCATCTGCTATGAATTGAATAATCTCTGGAACAGCTGGTTGATAAATAATTAAACATTATCTTTATTGTTAAAAGAGAAATAAGGTTTTTTGTATATCATATAATCAAATATTATGATTAATCAAGATTAATTATATAAGAAAATTTTCATTTGATTTATTCTCTTAGGAGATTGAATACAACATGGTATGAATTTATGAAAACAGTTAATAATTTGCGTGTATATGATCCAAATAGTTCAGAATTTAAACGTCTTTTAAATCATTTACAAAATGGTGAAGTTATTGAAGCAAGTAAGAAAATAAATATTCATTTGTTCGTATTTATTATTTCAACTTTTTCTCTTAGGCGAAATGTCTCAAGGTACACAAATTAAAGTTATTTTCGATTTACCCGATGGTTTTGAAGCACTTTTTAAGCCATACAGGTGAATAATTGATTTTATTATATTTCAATTTTTCTTTTCTTTTATCCATTAGAGTACCGCGTAATTACCAGACATTACCAGATCATTTCTACTTCAGTGATATTGAAAGACATCATGCTGAAATAGCTGCTTTTCATTTAGACAAGTAAATTTAATTTTGTCTTATTAGTTTGCATATATAAATATTTTTCTTTAATAAGAATTCTTGGTTTTTATCGTGTTCCACCATTAATTGGACGTTTAGTTCATATAACACGAGATATTCATGAAAAAGCAACAGAAGAATTAGCAAAAACATTTTTTATATCACCAGGTAAAATTCCGAAAAAATCCTTTTTTAGTTTATTATTTGAAAATTTCTAGCAAATAATACTTGTTTTCGTGGTCATTGCTCGTATTATTGTGATACATCTCATGCTGTTTGTGGTAAGCCAGGTGATCGATTAGAAGGTTCAATACAAGTTCTTCTACCACGACCACCAGAAATTGAATGGAAAAAGATTACACATCCATATCGTCGTTCATATAGTGCAATAAGAAAAGCTAAATGGGAATCAAACGAAAATCATTGTTATGATGAAGTTTTTTTAAGTCAGTTAAATCTAACTATATTCTACTATAGAATAATAATATTAATTTCTTTTAGATGACGATTATCATAATCGTCTATTACTCGATATGATGGATTTATCAGCATTTGACTTTCTTATAGGTAAATAGCTTTGTCTACACATTACAAATGACAGTCATATATCATTAGTTTTCTATAGAAGTTATATAATTCTCAAGTGATTTGTTCCCGACTCGATTAGATCCTTAATATGAAATCTTGAAAAATGATTAACGATAGAGATTTTATTGAAAATATACGAGTTACTATTCTAATTAGCGACAAGATAGACATGTAAAATCAAACTAATTATATGATTCTAATGAATTTTTTTTTCTTAGGTAATATGGATCGTCATCATATGATGCGTATTCAAACATTCGGTGCTAATAGTGCTCTAATTCATTTGGATAATGGTCGAAGTTTTGGTCGATATGATCATGATGAATTATCAATATTAACACCTATACGACAATGTTGTCTATTTCGTTATTCAACGTTTGCACGTTTATATCGTGTATATCGTCAAGGTCTTTCAACATTACTTTCACGTTCATTAGAAAATGGTGAACAACTACGAAAGATTCTTGTTGATGAACATTTGACCGCTATTGATCGACGTTTAGGAATTCTTTTTGCACATTTAGATACTTGCATTAAAACTTATACAGTGAAAGGGGTTATGATAGATGATGGTATTGATTAAATTGAGTGTGACTGATAATTACGGCATATAATTCCAACAGTGAAAAGTGTTTTTTTTTCTTTTTCTGGTTTATTTTCCTGTTAGAAGCATATTTGTTTTTTTGTTGTTGTTGATTTCTTTTATTTTTTTCCTTGTAACAAAGATTTTATTAATTATTAAAAAAACAAAGTTGGTTCTAGGAGATAGTACATAATTTAGATTTGGATTTGGATTTGGGTTTTAATGTCTGTAATTCATTAACAGCACGAACAAAAGGAACAAATTGATCACGATATAATTGTTTTTGATATTTTTCATGATATCGTTGTTTAACATCGTTATATTCAATTTGCCAGTCAGGTCGAAGACATTCTCCATAAAGAAGAAGATCTGTACCATATTTAAAATCATATATATTACTTAGTTGTTGATCAATTTGATTATCTGAAAACCATTGGGTAATATCTTTTTTTGTCCACTTTTCTACTGGTTTCTTTAAAGGTTTTGCATTGGATTCCGGTTGATTTTTTTCATCCAATTTTGTCAAATTATTTTCATCAGGTTTTGTTAAATTATTTTCATTAGGCTTTGTTAAATTATTTTCTTCAGGTTTTTTTTGTTGAGTTGTAGTTTCGACTGGTTTAGTTTCTGTAACCGATGGACGTTTAGTTTCTGTAACTGATGGAGGTTTATTTTCTGTAGTTGATGACGGTTTATTTTCTTGTTGTGTTTTATCTTCAAAAATAAGTTTCATTAGTTCATTAACTGTTTCATCAAATGGTTTTTTTCCAAAACGAATATATTGTGGACCAACAATACGAACACCTAACCAACCAGTTGCTGTAAATTCTTTTTTGACATAGATTGGTATAAAACGTTTTTTGAGAGAATCTTTTGCATACATTACTTCTTGTCGGCATGATTTACTATCTTGATAATCTTTTGACATTAAAAACAGGAGAAGATCCGCTTTTTCAATTGCTTCACCAATTTCCTCCCATAAGTCTTCTGTATGACAATATGCAAAATCTACCCAAATATCCAAACGCTTATCTATAAAACGAGAAAAAATATCATTATTTCTAGTAGAACTCTTTTGTTTTTCTCTACAAATGAAATGTATTTATATTTTTATAACAGAGTAAACATTAGAAGTGCTACATTACTTTTATTACTTTAATAAAGTAATAACAAGATAACAGATATAATATTAAGTCATAAATGTTGTTTTATAGTCAATTGTTATATTCTAGAATTCATTAGATATACTGAGTATATAGAAAAGACACAGTATGAGAGGATTATATTAAATCCTAACTGTGATACCGACAGAAAGTCCATCGAAAATTGGAATATTCACAGGAACTTGGATAGAGAGAGTTGTTTAGGGAGTAAGACGTAACATGAAATCAATTTCCGTTGAACAATTAAAATGAAAGTTAGGCCTGGCAGCCTAATATATGAGAAGACATGCAATCGTTAACTCGAAATATTTTTCTTTACTCTTATGAGTTATTTCTTATTAATAGTAATAATTTATAATTGCTTTTATCTTTATTACTTTTCATAATTATTACTTCTAGTACAGCAAAAAGTAATGTAACACCCTCAGTAAACATCTGGGAAATTTCTTATTTTCTGAGTTTTTCTCACGTTCGATCTATCTAAACTTCTTCATGAGTAATTTTTGATAGATAATAAATTTTATAATCACCTTTTTGAAGTGCATCAACAAATTGATGACAAAAATCTGAATCCGCATGTGAATAACTAACCATCACATGCATTCGATGGACCCTACTAGTACCACTTTGATTTAGTGCTTGAGTATCAGGATCTACTGTTGATCGAGTAGCTCGAGCTAAAATTGTAAAACATAACAAAATAATCATAAATAATTTACTCTTTTTATTGATACCTGGATTATTTTCATCAAGATTCCATAGAACTCCATTAGCTGCTTTTGTTAATGATGACAAAGGTCTAGGTATATATTGTTCAACTGTATTTGCTCCATCATCAATAACTAAACTTTTAACTGTGATTAAAAATTTTGGATATGATTTTAATTCATCAATATATTCGTCATGAAATGATATACTCCATAGAATATTAAATAAAGCAATTAATGTTAATTGATCAAGATCATCATCAGATGCTAATGCACCACGAAATTTAGTTAATAATTTACAAAAGAATTCAATTTTAGTTTTAGCTTCCATTCCTTTAACATTTGATTCATTTAAAACATATTTTAATATTTCATCATGTACACAAAGTTTTGTTAAAACAAGAATTGGTTCACTTACATGAAATCCTCCATATTTATAATTTACTGATTGACCAGCATCAACAGCTAATTGCATAAGTTGATCAAGAATTTTACGAAGATAATCTAAATCTTCTCGATTTTCTTTAGGTTCTGCTAATAATGATACAGCCATACAATAGACTAAACGTAATTCAGGATATACATCATCTTGATTTGTTTTATTTGGATCAAGTACTCGTTTTTTAAAATTTAAGAGGATAGCTAAACAATTTGCACTATTCAATACTTTAACACCCTTTTCATGTCTTGCTAAATTCTCTATTATATGTAGGCATACACGTTGAATAGTAAGAGGTAAATCTTCCATTGATATCCATCGTAAAACATATTCTGGACAATTTGTTTCAATCAAAGTTGGAACTAAACTAGTATCATCAACTAAACTCCATATAAAATTTAATATAGCCTTAATCAATTCTGGCATATTACTATGATGAACATTTTGTTTATTTCTATCAACATATTCAAGAAGTAAACGAATATTTGGTATAAAATTTTGTAATTCATTTTTTTTAAATACAATACATTCAACAGTTGTTAAAATACGATATATAATTCCTTGTAAAATTCTTGCTGTATGTGAGAATAATTCAATAGGACATTTTTCATTAAGAAAATCTGTTATAAGAGATAATGCTAATAATTCAAATGAACGAAAACATACAGTACGAGCATACTTAGGATTATTTTGGAATACTCCAGCGAGATCGAGGTTTTCTTCTGCATCATCCAATGTAGTAAATATGTCTTGAAGTAAACTGCTTGAAAGAATATTCAACGCATTTTTTATTGAAAGTATATCATTAATATAAAGTTTTAATGTTGCTTGTAATGCATCGAATATTTCAGTAGGTTGAGTAAGTTTAGTTAGATCTCGAATTTTATTTTTTATCAATTCAATATATTGAAAAATAGTTGAGTCAATTGGTTCATCATCTTTTGCTTTTTTTAATATAATTTGACGAAGATTTGAAAATAATGTCGGCAGATCATTTGGTAAATCAGTTGTTTTTGTTGAAGTAGGAGCTTCTGATAAGAAAATAACTAAAGAAAAATTCTAATTTTACAAGGAGGAATTGATTAATCGATGAATAAATTTTTTTTTCAGTATTGACTTAAAGATTGATTTAATTGATGTATATTTGATTTCTATAGTAAATATTATTTTTTTCTTAGATATAGTTTAACTATGCTGATATATTTACTTTTCTATTTGTTCAAAAATTTTTAAATGTCTAGGAGATATTATTTCATTAACACGCAATTCGAATAGCTTACCTTGAGTTGTTCGTCGTTGTGTTTTACGCGATTCTGCCATTCAAATACTTGCAAATTAATAAATTTGCACCGTATTTTTAATATAGGCAAGATGAGGTATGTGTGTATGTTTTTTTTTCTTCTCTGTTAACAACTGATTCATTTATAATGTTTTCTCCATGGTGAAGAATCAAAAATGTTACATTGAAAGAATGGCAAGTGTTCTCTCAACGTTATTTTTACATAAGAAAATAAGAATAAAATAAGTTGTTTTTTTTTTAAATTAAAATAATGAATGTCCTTTTTGTTCATAATGACGAATAAAGTATTTATGATGTTTTTCTTAAAGACTTTCGACAAGTAAATGTATATATTTAGAATTTTTTTTTCTTTCGAACACGATGACCGTACAATTCATAAAAGAAAGAAAGAAAGAACGAAAAGAAGAAAAACTGAACACAACATAATTTAAAAGAGAAAGAAAAAGAATAATGAAATCGAGGCAGATTTGTATATATTTAAATGTACAGATCGAACAAAATTATATTATTGCGTCTCACTATAAGCTGTTGAAGGTGGTTGTTGTTGTTGTTGAGGCATCATATTCGGAGGCATTGAATACATCATATGTTGTTGTAAATTAGGATCAACATAATATGCTCCTGCTGGTTGTTGTGGAATATATGGCATAGAGGGTTGTGTTTGTGTAGGTATTTGATTATTATAAATTTGTTGAGGTTGATACATCATCGGTGGTGGTGGTTGCTGTTGTTGTTGTTGCGGTGGTATTTGTTGTTGTTGTAAACCTGGATGAACTTGATAATAGGGTTGAGGTGGCACTTGTGATTGTTGTTGATACATTTGATTAGCAAGTTGAACTGCATTTGTTTTTGCTTGTGCTGCTCGTATACGACCTTCTTCCATAAGACGATGATATAAATCCATTGCTTCACGTAAATTTTTATTTAATTCTTCTAATTGTACATGTTTACGATCAACTTTTTCAAGTTCATGATCAATAAGTGGACCCATGGCATAACATGTATCTTCAAGCATAAGCATTTCATTTGAATCAGCTTCAATTTCACCGGTTGGATCAGCATTTTGTAACATAGCTAAACAACGATCAATAAAACGTTCATCAATAACAATTTGATCTTTAATAATTTCATTCTGACGTTGTTGTTTTTGATTTAAATCCTATAAAAGAAAAGAAAACAAACTATCTTATTAAAATATTTCTAATTTTTGTACATTAATTGTTTTGTTAGTTGTTCCATTCGATTGATTTGGTGAATCAACTTGTTGTTGAAGATTTTTAGTAACAAAATTAGCTGGAAATAATCCTTCAACTCCATTATTAATTCCTTTCCACCAATGTTGATCAGTGTCATCAGTAATGATTAATATATCACCTGCTTTAAATGTAACTTCATTGTCTTCAGCAGCTTCAAAATCATATAATGCTTTAGCTTTTTTTTCATTTCCACTTGTATTTATTGTTGTTGTTGTTGTTGTTGGATTTGATGAATTTGATTGTTGCATTGATGGATAAAGAGAATTTGACATGGTTTGTTGAGGTTTTGATTGGGTTGCTTCTTGCATTGATAAAGCGACTATAATTTAAAAATAAATATATTTTTTGTGTTTCTTTAAATAAAAACTTACTAGCTTTTGCAAATTCTTCTTCTTCTCGTTTAGCTAATAAATCTTCTTGAGTTCTTCGTGAAGCAACTGTTGCTACTGTTGGAGCTACTGTTGATAATGGTTGATTATTAGAACCATCAATAAATGTATAACCTTTTTCTGTTGTTAATTTCTTATAAGTAGCACTAAGCATAGCATATTGTGCTTTATCTTTAAATTCTGGATCATCCATCCATTGTTTTATTAATGAACCTATACGATTTCGTACTATATTTTCTGTTCGTGTATCGTCAATAATTTCAACTAGTACATTCATCGTTGCACGTGATGTAAATAGTTGATGAAATTGTTGACCACAATTTTTTACAGCGGCATCAAATAATATTAATGTATTCATTTGTAATTTTGTTTTACGAGTTTGTTTAAGTCGTTTTAATATTTGATCAAGTAATTCATTTGGTTTAACTTGCCCATTTTTAACATAATCGCAAACCTCTAAAAAGAAAATTAAATTTAGAAAAGTTTATAATTTTTTTCTTGTTATTTTTCTTACCTAATATTCTATCCCAATTTTCTTCACTATTATTTTCATTTGTTGCTGCTTCAAGAGCAATTTGAAAAGATTTTGCTGCCATATTAATTCACTCAAATGTAAGAAATAAAAGTCGACATATTTTTATATCTACAAAGAAGACGTATTTGTATGACTCATTATTATCTCGACGAATCACAAGCGTTGCGTATTTTACTCATTTCTATCTCGACAGCTCCCGCTCATTTACATAGACATAAACTATTTATTTTCTTTTTTTTTGCTATACAAACAAACAATGAATATCCTATGCTCGTTGCAATCATGTGATTGATGATGAATATGATTCAAATCCTATCGAATAGAATAATCGAGAATATCATAAAAAAATAAAATAGTCTATACTTTCAACAATAATAATGAATTTTTTTTAAAAAAAAGAATTTCTATTAAATATTTATTATATAGAATTCAGTGGAAAATAGAATCATGAAAAATATTTTACCTGTAAGAAAATTATGATTAATAAATGTTTCTACTAAAATAATAATTATTGCTCATGTGAAATGTGTCATAAAATAAAATATAAGTTGTGCAGAAAAACTATTAGTAAAGGTCAATTTATTATCTTTGAAGATAAAAAATTTCATGACACATGTATGAGATGTGAAAAATGTGTTTAATAAAAAATAAAGATAATTCTTTTCTTTGCTAACTATAGGTTTATATGAAGAAAAGAACAATAACTGATTCAATTTTTTTTATCGTTGAAGACGATAATTTTTCTTTCAAATCAAACAAGAAAAAAACAAAGTTAGCCTTCGTTTCTTTTTGCTCTAGACATATTGTAACTTTAGTCGATATCAATATAAATAAAAGCACCAATGATAAAAATAATAAACTAAATTAAATAAATAAATCAAAATAGAAAAGCAAATTGCTACAGTTTACGGAATGTATAAATATGTTTTGATTTTTTAAAGTTCACTTTTTGATTGAAGATTTTTATCAATAAAATTAACTAAATCATTTATATCTCGATTTCCTTCATATTTCACTGGTTGATTATTCATTGGAACAAAATAAATTGTCGGAAAACCAGTTACTTCAAAACCTGATGGAATATCATTTGCTGAAGCATCAATTTGAGTTAAAATGAGATTTGATTGACTAGTATATCGTTGAGCAAGTTTCATATATGTCGGTTTAAAATTTGTACAATGACCACACCTAAAAAAAACAATTAAACATTAATAAAATAAAACTATGAATGAAATTAATCTAACCATGGTGCATAAAAAAAGACTACCGCATTTTTTGTTTTATCTTTAACAATTTTTTCAAAATTTTTTGCTACAACTGTATGTATTCCATTTGTAACCGATTGTTTTGGAATTGGTTGAGATTTAAAATATGGTTTCACTTTTCCTTTAATTAATTTACTAACAAATTCTTCAAATGACTCCGATGTAAATTCATCATCATCATCCATACGATATTTTAAACCATTTTTATCAAAACAACCAACATTTACATCTTCAGCAGATTCTTCAAGAGCAAATTCTTTTAATAATCCTGACATTTTTTCTTCATCAGCTACAGCAAATGTATATTTATCTTTATAATTATTTGCAACATTAAGAATTTTATTTCTCCAATATTGTGTTCGTTCACGATGTTCAAATGAAAAATCTAAATCATACATAACAACACATATTGGACGTCGTGATAAATAAATATTTCGTTGATTTTCTTCTGTTAAGATTCCTACTAATGGTATTTGATATTGTTCAATAAATAATTCAAAATCATTTTCATTCGCATTATGTTTATTGAAAATAAATTTTTCTTTTTCATATTTTGATCGAACATCGGAATGATGTTGAAGAACAATTGCTGGACTTTGTACATCATCAAAAACTGAGAATTTTTCAAATGTATGTCCAAATTGAAAAACTTTTCGTTTTGTATATGCATAATCAATAAATAATTGATATAAATGATCTTGATCATTTTGAAATACACCAATAATAACAGGTTGATCATTTTTTCTAAATAAATTTTTATAATCATTCATATTTCGTATTTCACGACTTGGTAATGATAAAAGTTCTTTCATTGTTGAAACAATTCCATGTTCAGTTTGTTCACCATCATAACGAATTCGTTTACCACCTTTACGATAAACAAATAAAGTTGGATATCTATATATAAATAATAATTAAATTATAACAAAAAAAAAAAAGGTTTTTAATTCTTACCCAGTGATATTATGTGAAGTAGCTAATTCGGTTTCAACAGTACTATCAACTTTAGCTAAACGAATGTTAGTATCTTTTTTTAATAATGTTGCTGCTTTTTCAAATTTTGGTTCAAGTCTTTTACAATGACCACACCATGGCGCATAAAATTCAACTAATGTTAATTCTTCATCAGTTGTAAATTTTTCAAAGTTTTCTTGTGTTAATTCAATAACATCTGATGGTGGTGGTGTCCAAGTTGGATCAGCAAATGTTTTCATAAAATCAGCAATAGCTGAAGCTGGTTGTCGAGGACCATCATAATCAACTGGTTTTTGACTATTTTTATGAAAGATTTTCAATGTTGGATAACCTTCAATTGAATATTCCATTGCTAATGATTGTTCAATTGTAGCATCAATTTTAGCAAAAGCAACAGGATTTTCTTCATCTTTCATTAAACGTGCAGCTTGTTCATAAAATGGTGCAAGTTGTTTACAATGACCACACCTTAAAAAGATTTACATTATATATATATATATAATATTCATTGAATTCATATTTACCATGGTGCATAGAATTCAACAAGTACTACTGGATTTTGTTGAATATATTGTGTAAAATTATCTTTACTTAAATCAACAACGATATTTGGACCTGATAGTATAGCATTATCATCATCAGCTGTTGAAAAATCATCGACAGCCCATGTTAATAAGAAGAAAAAAGTTAGTAGTAAAATAGAACGCATCCTACAATGAACTAAAATAAAATAAGATTAATCGCAATACATAAAAATGTTAGTTTTGAATATGAGTTTTTAATTTTGAGAAAACGAAAACAACAACAATAACGACAACAACAATAAATAATAATGTTAAGCAAAATGATTTAGTCAATGAGTTTTTTAGCTTTAAAGTATCTACGTAAATAGAGTACTTGCCACAAAGCTAAACTCATTAAACAACACATTGAAAAAATGGAAAAGTAAAGAACTTTGTTATTTGTTGATTCATTTGTAGTACGCATTTCTTCTTCACGTTGTTTCATATAAGCAAAATCTGATACAATTGAAGTTGTTAAATCTTCTAAACGATTTAATTCAACTTCTAATGGTTTAAGATTATTAGCTTTTGCTAATGCTTCATAATCTTTAGTTTCTACACCATGTTTTATTTTTATTGTTACTTCTTTAGTTGAATGTTGAGGTGACAAATGATGTTTTTGTTGACCATGAGGTAATTTTGTTTCAACACATATATCAAATATATCAAAATCTTCGGTTGTAAATGCAAATCTTCCTTTCGTTGCATCTTCTTTATTATAAAGGATATGACCTTTAGTATCTTTTACTTCGAGATGAGTTGATAAACCGGGTAGTGAAGTTATATCATAATCACCCGTAACCATAGTATCCTAATTAAATAGAAATCAAAAGAAAATCTTGAGTGAAATTATAGAAAAGTAAATGGCAGACCTTGTGAACTTCTTCTTTTAAACATTTTCTTGTGCTAACTGGTAAGGTAAAACTGATTGAATAAGTATATCCAATGAGGAATATAGGAAATATGAGAAAGCTAAAAATGAGTTGCATCGTTGGTAATAATAATTAACAGCAAAGCAATGAGAAATTGACACAGCCGGTCGAATAGATCAGAATTATTGTCAGTTTACCACGTCAGGTCAGGCTTTCCGTAATTTTACCAATTATAATATGTCACCAAGTATTAGAACAAAAAGAAGTCATATAGTTAATTTTTTTATTTTTTATTTCAAAAATTTCTATTTAAAAAAAATAGATGATGATAAATTTAACAAAATGTCAAATAGATGGCGTTAGTATATGAAGATTAGATATGATCATTTCTTATCTACAAATCAATGCTACATTTTTTTAGGAAATTATATAGTTCTATAAATACTATTACTGATTGTCTATCATTGGTTTTAATTATAATGACGAGTATGAGTAAAAACTCAATAGTTTGCTTTATTTTTCATTTTGTACTTCATCTCCTCTTCTATTCTATAACAATGCAAAGTAACAGATAAGAGTCTTTATTCTAACTCTTATAAGTATAGTTGGGATTTCTATCCAAGGTTCATGAAATCGTGGACTCTACAAAAGCGTCTCATCATACAAAGCTATCACTTCTCAAATAAAATACAACAAGTATTCTATTGTAGAATTCATTGAAATAGTAGTAGAAGCCAGTGGATACAATGCAATAAAATCAAGTAGAATTATCATTGTAGAAATCAACTGTTGCCTATATACCATAAGAAATATTACACAAACAGGCAAAAGGTACGCAAACAACTGCTAAGTTTTGAAATAAAAAATAGTGGAAAACATGAACTTATTCTGTTTATTCGTGTCTCTACATTTCAGCAATACACAAGAGTACGCTTTCTTCCCATCAATACTTACTCATAGACTCTCATGATTTGACTAATATTTTTTAAACGTATAAATATACAAATGAAATATAATACTTTTACTTTTCTAACTAAATACGGATCATTCTTATAATCATGTATAACAATGTCATCATAGTGAGATAGATTTTCTACTCCAGCAAAATCACTACTTCGTCATAATGAACAAATTTCATTCTTCTGGTGATAGCGAGATGAAAGTTTTCGATGTACGATATGTGATGAAAAATTCCAATAGAAACCTTTTCTGAAATATTCATGTATCGGTTTTTTTTCAAGTAATCGAATTAATCTTGAAGATATTTTTCGTATTATTTTAGAAACTATTTTCTAAATTTAATCTTTTTAAAGATAAAGATCAAACTTCGAACTATTATTTATACACATGTTATTGCATATGGTTTCATCAATAACATTTTCTTTTGCGCACAATTTCGAAGTCAATATCAATCGTTTCTCAAGAATTTTTATGTCGAAATCATCGTCTATATTTTAGTCCCTTTTTTCTTTCATCTTTCTCCTAATTTCTGTTGTTGTATTCCATAGATACGATGTTATCTTTGTTGACAAAAAGTAACGTTGTATGTATGTATCCTTATCTTGACAATACATACTTTCTTAAAGTTTTTCTTCTCGTTTTCATGAATTCTAAGCTTATTATTAACGCTTTTTTTCTAAAATGAAAAAATGTTAGTTGAACATAGACGAGATTATCCTACATATCAAATGGCTTATCAATGTTTT